CCATTGGGCAGGCACCTGCAGCAGAGACAGAGAGTGTGAGGATCTGGGCAGGGGGGCTGTTGGGGGTCCCCACAGCATGTGGGGCGAGATGAGGAGGATCAGGCCCTCCCTGTGGGGACTCTGAGGAGTGGCAGGTCTGAGGTAAAGGCCTCTCCTTGTGGGACCTGGGAGGTGGGTGATCTGAACTACACCTCTGGTGGGGCGCCTAGGAGGAGACCTGGGGGTCACGGCTGTCCCTGTGGGAGAACTGGACCAATCCCAGCCGCCCTGCAAAATTATATCCTCCCCCCACACACCTGCCCAACGCCAGGGATAAAACCCAGGAGTCCTGACCCCCAGACCCCCCACTCTCCTCCCCGCTCTGAGGAAAGAGCCCAATCGCCCCTCCCCCCAACGGAACCGTCCCTGGGTCCCACAATGCCCAACTGTCTCCAACCCGCCCCGCAGCTTGCAATTCTCCCACAATGCACTGCGCCAGAGGCGGCTTCCTCCCTGCACCGGCAAACGGCCCGTCATCATCATGTGATATCATCATCCAATCCCAGCCGTGCAGGGCTCCGGGCGGGGAATGCTGCTGTCTAGTCCCTGAGAAGGCGGGGGGGGGGACGGCGCAGTAAAGACCTGGGTTCTATCCCTGGCTCTGGGGGGTGGGCTGCGAGCTAGGACTCCTGGGTTAGAATATCAGGGTTGGAAGGGACCTCAGGAGGTCATCTAGTCCAACCCCCTGCTCAAAGCAGGACCAATCCCCAATTTTTGACCCAAATGGCCCCCTCAAGGATTGAACCCACAACCCTGGGTTTAGCAGGCCAATGCTCAAACCACTGAGTTCTATTCCCAGCTCTCCCTTTGGCTCCCCTCTTGACACCGGGAGGGAGTTCTTTTGCCCTCTTTGTGCCTCAGTTGTTCCCACCCAAGTTGGCAGCTGTGCGCTTTGTTTCCTTGCTGCTTGCAAAGTGCTTTGCAATTGTGAGCAGGGAAGGGAACTCCTAGAGCTCCTTCCCCAGCCATCAGGGCAACGGGACCACATCCCTTCCAGAAGAGGAACCTAGGAAGTACCATGCCCGGGGGCCCATTTAGCCTGGTATCCTATCTCCCAGAGCAGCAGGTCCCAGCTGCTTGAAAGGCAGGTGAAGGAGCCCTTCAGTAATGACATAAGTGGATCACAGGGGCAGATTCCTCCTGACCCCCCATTAGTCAGGAGTGAGCTCTTGCCCTGAAGCATGAGGATTTCAGCCTCTTCCCAAAAACTAGGGGACATTTTACTCTTTGCTCTGGATGTTCTCGTTATTCAGATCAACATCCAAATCTAGTCTGAATCCCTCTAATTTGGCTTCAATGAGACCTTGTGGCAATGAGTCCCACAGGCTGTGTGGAGACATTGTATGATCAGACCCACATTCCCTAACTCTCTGATCAGAATTCACCCACAAGTTCAGCCCCCAAGAAAGCCATAAAGCCAGGTTGCAGCTACACACCAGGACACTGAAGAACCAGGGAGATTTCTCTCCATTGACCCACACCCTCCCCAGCCGAACTTTCTCAGACACATGAGGGGTGGGAAATTTACAGGCAAAATACATTTAACACGCAGAATCAAGACTCCTGGATTCTATTCCTGGCTTTGGGAGGGGACTGGGGACTAGTGGTTAGAGTAACAGGGTCAGGACTCCTGGGTTCTATTCCCAGCTTTGGGAGCAGAGTGTGGTCTAAAGGGGGCTGGGAGTCAGGCTTCCTAGGTTCTTTTTCCAGGTTTGGGAATAGAGTGGGATCCAATGGGTTGGGAGGAGGCCAGAGAATCTGGTCTCCTGGGTTCTATTCCCAGTTCTTGGAGCGGGAAGGGGGGGGGTTTGGGGGGGGAGGAGACAGGACTCCTGAGTTTTTTATTCAATTTAAAGAGAATCCAACAGACAGCAGCTCTCCAGAACTGTCAGCTCTCCCTGACTCGGAGGAGTCTATCAGAGTAGTTACAAGCCTCAGAAACATTAAAGGATGTACCCTGCCAGTACTCTGCAACTGAGGCACAGAGATGGGAAGTGACTTGCCCAAGGTCACACCCTGAGTCTGTGACAGCACCAGAAATCAAATCCAGGTCTCTGGAGTCCCAGCCCTGGGACCTTAACCACCAGACCTCATAGAAAGGCTCTATCCAATACTTTTCTATGGTAGTCATAGTTGAGAGCCATTAGGAAGGGGACTGAACTCAGGCTCTTCAATGCAATCAGCACAGGCCTCTACCAGATAAGCCACAAGAGAAATGCCATTAGTTGGCAGCAGCAGTAGCAGGCTCTTATCCATTGTGCAGACCAGGTAAAACACAGAGAACCTGGTCATTATGCAAGCAAGGCTGTGAGGCAGAAAGCCCTAAGGATTCCCCCAACAGTTAAGATTACAAATTAAAAATGCCCCCAGGGTAAATAATTCACCCTCTTCTCTTCTTCTCCCAAAACAAGAAGACATGCCCCACCCAACATTTCCCCATCTCTGGGTGAGGCTCACCTGCTTCTCTGAACTGAGAGCTGTATTTGATGGGTAGCTAAAGGGATGCAAGATGGAGGACCATGTATTTATAGATTAAGTCCTGCCCAGAGGCGGGATTTACCTGGGGGTGTGTGGGGGGCTAAGAGCTTTACATATAGATGAGAGCCACTAGGCTAGTTCTGGATTGACTGAGGAAGGAGAGTAGAGCTAGTCAGGTAGCAAATCTATATGACCTGGATGAGTGGGGATACAAAGAGTTCCTGGAATAAGAGGAAATGGTGAACCTTGGTATGGCGGGAGGAGCAAAGGGGTCACATAAAGGCCCTGGTTTGTGGGAAATGGAGGGCACACAGAATCCCTGGCATAGGGGAGAGAGGGGAATGGAGGGCATGCACATATTCTGGCCTGGGAGAAAGGAAAAGGGGGGCACACAGAGCACCTGGTATGGGGAGAGGGGTGGGGGGAATCACCATGAGTCATTGAAATAGAGGGCTGTGACCCAAAGACCACTTGATGCCAACTAGCAGAGGGTACAGTGATACATAAGGGTACAAGGATCCCCAGAGTTCACCAGAAAGGTCATGGAAGGTCTCTACTAGAAGCCTGCGTCACACTGATTGTCAAAATAATTGTGAGCTGGATGTATGGAAAACATGAGGAGTTGTGGCTATGCTGAAAATTGTGTTCTCTAGGCCTTGTAGTTAAAGGCAAGGCACTCAAAGCTGTGTGGGAGGCACCTATCTTCCCTGGTTGGGCCATTGTGTGTGCCCCAGGAGAAGTCTGCCAATGCACTGAGTCCAATGAAGAGCTCCTGCAGTCTCCAGAAGGAAATTAACAGGAAGAGGGAAATGGGGGGTGCAGGACGGACCCTGTTTTCAGGAAAGCTCAAAGGTTTAGTCTGGTATTTCTGGGGTGCAGCGAGAAGCCCTGGCATCCCACAATCTGCAAAGACAGACTGCCAGTGGGCTTGAGCTTATGAAAGGGGGATCTCAGCCATGCTGGCTGAAAAGGCTGGGAAAAGGACTTGGGGCAAGCCGTCCTGCAGGAGACGGGGCAACGTCTTGTGAGTTAAGTAAGTCTAGGCATGTGATTATTTTGTTTTCTGTGTAACTGAGATGGTTTCCAATATTCTTCCTGTCCCTCATTTGAGTCTCTCCTCTGCTAATAAAGGTGGTTTGTTTTCACTCTGACTGGCTAAGTGCTGGATGTTCAGCGGAGCAGGGAGCCGGAGCTGACTCTTGGAAGTTGCTGTGTGCTGCTCCCGCGGGCATGGCAAAGCTGAGTGCACCCAGTGGGTCAGGGGCTGGGTGCTCCAGGGCGACAGGTGGAGGAGGTCACTGGGGGTCAGCGTGCACCTGGGGCTGAGCTGTAGAGAGGGGGAGGCTGGGCTTGTGTTGCCAGAGGCCGGGGGCTGCTCCACAGCAGGCACAGACAAGACCCCCTCAGGCGAAGGGCAGGTGGCAGGGAGGTGCCTTGCAGCCTTGGGAGGGCGGTGCCCAGAGAGCTGTGGGGAAAACGGAGGGCAAAGAGCCCTTCTCTGCTAGTCCCCGTTACCCAAGCAGCCTCATGTCCACACCGGTTCGTTATTGACAGAAGCCTGCTACAGAATGGCCTGCAAGCCTTGTGGTTATAGATTCTGGGTTGTTGTTGTTGCAGGGTCTCTTGCAATCACTGCCCTGTCCGATTGTGCCTCTAGGGGAAAGCTTGAGGGTTAAATCCTGACCCTGCTTTCAGGGGGAAGAGGAGAGGGTACCAGCCCCACAGGACTGATGCAGAGCCCCCTGCTAAGGACAGAGCCCTGGCCACATCCTGGGCTCCGCCAATAGCCCCCTGTGGGCTCCAGTGCTGCTGTGAGAATGAGTCAGCAGCAGTCCCACTTCAGGCTTTCACACCAGTCACCCCATGCAGCTAAGTGAATGGGGGAGGACAGGTGGTGCAGGTCATGCCCACGTGCAGCAAGAAAGCAGGACCACAGGAGCTCCTCTGTATTCCATTCTCCTCTCCTCCCTTCCTGCTATAGGTTCCTCCATCCCTTTAGTGTGTTGGCCTTGTCACCTACTAGTGGCTGCAACACCGAGGATAAAAGACCTGCTGCTGTCTGAGGGAAGAGCCTTGCTCAGCTCATGGGGGAGAAGCCGAGCCCTTTGACCATTACATTCCCATGTTCAAGTCCCATGTTCAACTCCTGTGGTCTATGCCCAGCTCTGAGAGGGGAGGGGGAACTGGGAGTCAGGCCCCCTGGCTTCTATTCTATGCTCTGGGATGGGAGTGAGGTCTAGAAAACTAGAACAAGAGGGACTGCTGGATTCTATTCCCAGCTTTGCCACCAGTTTCCTATATGACTTTCGGCAAGTCATGTCTCTGTGCCTCAATTTCTGCAAAGTGGGGGTGCTGACCTCTCCCTCTGTGGTTGTGGGGGCTCCAGGGCTTGTTCATCTTTGCAAAGAGCTGGAGCTTCCTGCCCAATGACGATTCAAAGCACAAGCCAAGGCGGCAGAAGAATCACCCACTGTCTGGAGAAGTGCTGTAGACACAAACATCTTTAGTAGTGCAGAGAGAGATTTCCCCCCTTCACCATACAGCCCTGTGTTAAAGCAAACCATGGAGGCTGTGTGAGTGGTGTGTTTCTAGCCAGGACCTGTAGTCCTGCTTCTGAGCCCGGGGGGGGGACATGAGAGAAAGGCCATAGCTAAGTCACCAGTATGAGAATGCATTGGCCCTAGATCTCTTTGGAAAGGCAGCTAGGGGTTTAGATCTGCTCAGCCCCATGTCCTGGTGGCAGGGAGGGGACTTAGATCCTGGCTCATGGCTGGAGATGGGTCAGATGCAGCTGGACCAGCTCTTCGGCCCGATGTAGATACTCGGCTGTCTTCTTTTTCACCGCTTCCCGGCGGGCCGGATCGGGGTCTCCTGGGCAAGGAGAGGGGAAACGCACAGATGTGCCCATGACCGTAAGCAAAGAGCTGGCTCCCTGCACTGAGCTATGGTGCTAGCCCACTCCTCCCTGCAGTGAAATGTATGACACTGAGGGCTTGTCTTCAGCTGCAGAATTAATGCAAGTGCAGAGGTGGTTTGAACTCAGGCTGGCCAGCCCCGGAGGGGGTTTAGGCTAAAACTCCAGGGAGTGAATCTCACCAGTTGCTAGCACGACAACAGTGCAGGGTGACTGCAAGCTAGTGCTGCTCGACGGCAGCTAATCTTTCAGTGCCTTCCCCCAATTCCTCCCCGTCTATGTGCCTGCAAAGGACAGACAGGTTCTCCCCCAATTCACTAGAAAAGGATGAGAGCCACTCAGCTCACTGTGGTAATAAGAACTATGGGATGCCCCCTCCCCCGAAATCTTAGCAGCTCCCAGGAGTGGGGCAGATACATCAGCTGAGACGAGGCTAACAATTTGCATGCAATCCTAGAGTTAACTCTGCAGGAGACATTGTCTTGGCATGCTGCCAGCTGGTCCCAAGGGACTGGTGCATAATCTGGGTTGAGGACCAGGGATTTCAGGACCAAGACCCACACCTCCCATCTCGGTGAAATCTCAAGAAAGCAGCTGTGGGTTTGTTCTCTACGCTGGCTTGTTTGGCCACAACAGGCCAGATTAAACGTGGGAGGATCCACACTGCTGTTAGGTAGCCTGAGTTAATTTGCAACCCTCCCATGGAAATAAAAGCCCCCCCCCGAATCAGGGAAGGGCAAAGAGCCACAGCAAAATCTGTGCTTAAGACCGAGAGGAAGGGCAGCCCTGGCAAAGGGACATAGGATCAATCTCACACCCTGGGTAACCTTGATGTTGGGTGGCTCTTCCTTGCTCCTGACAGCAGGAAGAGGGTGGCTGGCTCATTGGCAATACCCAGCTGCAGCTGGGAAGCTCTTTGTGGCAGGGACGGGCTGTTCCATGTTTGTGCAGCACCTAGCACACCAGGGTCCCGCACCAGGACTGGGGTGGCCAGGTGCAGCCTCACTCGTGGTTACTGGTCAGGAGAAGGGAGGCCCACCCTGAACTCCAGGGCCTTTCTGTTTGTCTGGCTGGAATGTGGGAACGTATGAAAACTGCCTCCAACCACTTCCAGAATCTCCGGAAATGGTCAAGGTGCCAGCACTCTGCGGCTCTGGGGACAAGGAGCAAACCCCGATTTCCACTAGAAATCGGTTCACTTGGTGCTGCAGGCAGAGGCTCACTGGCGCCCTCTGCTGCTGTCTGCACATATCACAGGCAGCAGCTCACCAGGGGGCCATATACTTTGTTGCTCAGGCAGGCCAAGCTCTGTGTGTTATCCAACTTCTTAAGTGCTAATGGAGGATCGGATGGTGAGGGGTCCACCTGGGGGTGGAGGTGCGGTAAGGGTCGAAGGCCCTGGCTGGGCAGGGGGCTGGACACAGCCGGGGCAAACGAGGGGCTGGCCAGCAATGGGGCGGGGCCGCTGGCTATACAGCTTGGCCTACCTACACCATGAAGGGTGCAATGTTCCAGTAATGACAGCGCTGGCCCAGGCCAATCCCTGGATTGACTCTCATCCCCTCATGTCCCTGTGGGTGAGCGGGTTGGCTGTTGGTTTTCCGCTGTGACGTGGGGAGGGTTGTTCCACCTCAGCTTGTGAGAGCTGCCCCAAGTCCCTGCTTGGGGTGATTTAGGATCCTCCTCGCCCCCCATAGAGAGGAGACCAAGCCCGGCCTGATGGAATCAAGGCCTGTGACTCTGCTCTGTGGGGGTGGAAATCGATGGAGGTGTGACACCGCTGATGGGAGGGAGGGTTCCAAATGCAGACACTAATGGGCAGGGGGCTAATAGCTGCCGTGACACACAGACATATCTGGGAGAGTAGGGGAGGGAGCTGGGAGTCAGAACTCCTGGGTTTGATGCCAGGCTCTGGGAGAGGAGTGGAGTCCAGTGGTTAAAGCAACGGGCAGGGGGCCAGGACTCCTGCATTTTGCTCTGGCTGTGCTGCAGACTCCATGCCATGCTTTGTGGGGGATGTCACTTTCCCCTCTATGCTAAGGAGGGTACTGGTTTACCAATGAGGTCAGACCAAATGGTTCCCCCACCCCTCCAAGTACCTTGCACCCCCTTCAGCAGGATGTCCACCCCATTGCGGTAGCCACAGAGGGCCCCTGCGTAGTCTTTGGCTGCTTCTCGCTTCAAGGCCAGCGTGATCTCCTCAGTGGCCACTGCCAGGTAGCCTCCAGGGTCCAGTCCCTGTATTGCCTCCTGCTCCGCAGGCTGAGAGATCTGCAGGTCCCACAGGGCATCAGCCGCCAGCTCAATGTCCTGGCCGGGGAGCATCTCTGATTCCAGGGCCAACGTGGCCCCCTGGGAAAGGCTGGCTGAGCATTGCTCTGAAAGCACAAAGTGTGTGTGTGGGGGAGGCATGTTAAAAGGTAGCAGGGACCCCCTGCCTGCTTCATGAGACTGAAACCCTCCGTTCCCCCCCTCCCACTATGGGGAGCACCAGGCAAGCTTCCCACCCCCACATCCTCCACGTGGCCTGAGCCCGCCCAGCTCCCAGAGGAGAAAGCCTCCATGTCCCACTCCCCTGAGCCAGCCAGTGCCCCCATCCTGGGCTTGGATCAGAGCTGGCATCCCCTAGAGATGACCCAGACCCATCTAACCCCCTCCTACCTTCCTTGATGAATGGGTCAAAGAGGGCCAAGTCCTGGTCAGACAGGGGGCCGCGGAGAGGCGACCCGCTCTCCTTCTCCTCCTCCCCCACAGAGGCAAAGAGCAGGTCCAGGTCCTCCTCTGATTTTGCAGCCAGTGCAGGGTCCCCTGATCCAGGCAAGAAGCACAGGAGAAAGTGTGGGTGTCTGAATTGAACCCCACCCTGAGAAGCCAGCCTGCCTACCTGCCCAGGGAGCAGCCCCACCATTAGCTGAGGGTCTGGTGCTCAAGGCCTCAGTTTCCCCATCTGTACAACCAGAAGAATCACCCCGTTTGTCTGTGAGCTCTTTGGGGCAGGGACAGCCTCTCGCCACTGTAATACTACTACTAATGCACCCACCACAATGGGACCACAGGCTTGGCTGGGGCCTCTAGATGCTACTGTATGATTAATAATAAAGCACACACCCTAATGGGGCCTGTGGGCACTACCCTACTACGACTAATAATGTGCATGCTATAATGGGGTGCAAATCTCAAGCTGGTTTCTAGATGCTACTGTAATGCTACTAATACACAACAGAATGAGGCCCTGATCTCAGCTGGGGCCTCTGGCTGGGACCATAATACACACACTATAATAAGGGCCCAATATTGGATGGGGCCTGTACATGTTACCATAATATTACTAATATTGCACACCCATAATGGGGCCCAGATCACAGCTGGGGTCTCTAGATGCTATTCTACTACGACTGTGTACCTCATAGTGGGGTCCCAATCTTGGTCAGAGCCTCTGTGTTCTGTACTCTACTGTATTCCACCATAATGGAGCCTCTAGGTACCACCATCACATGAATAGTGCTGCTAAGTGTGTCTAGGCTGGGACAGCTGAAGAGCCTCTGATCCAACAATCTTCACTGGCGAAAGTGATGCCTTTCATTATAGGCTCAGGCCCCTGAGCTGCCTCTTGTCCAGTCCCTCCCTGGTGCTGGGCTGTGACTACAGCTCTTTGTTCCCCGCTCCTGACTCGCCTGCTGTAGCAGCAGAATCCTCCCTCACTCCCCAACCTACGAACCACATGATGCATCATCCCCCGTCCCCCCCTGAATCAGCTGAATGTCATGTGCTCATGGTGCATTGTCCCCTAATCCTGCTCCCTGGCCTGCAGAGAAGAGGCGGCCTAGGATTCTGAAGCACCTGCTGCCCCAATCAGAGCCATGGATAGTCAGTGCCTTTGGAAGCCAAGCCCTTGGCAAGGACAAAGTCCTTCACGGAGATCAAGGCTGCGATTTGTAAAAGGTGTTAAATGCCAAAATCCTCTGGGAGTTGGGGACCTAATTCCCAATTGCAGCCTCCCTACTAGGGAGTGGCTCTTAGCAATTGCACTTGAGACAGCTGATCACTGGGCTGGTCAGTTTCACATATACCGAGATGCAGCATGGGCCAATAGCTAGGGAACAAGGCTGGGCCTCAGGACTCCTGGGGTCTATTCCCAGCTCTGCCACTGACCTGCTGGGTGACCTTCGACAAGTCCCTTCACCTCTCTGTGCCTCTGTTTCCCACCCTTTGTCTATTTAGAGTGTGAGCTCTTCTGGGCTGGGACCATGTAACACAAGGAGCCCTGAGCTCAGCTGGAGCCGCAATACTGGTGAGAATGTGCTCATCATAATGGGGCTCTAATATGGAGGGGTCCTCCGGGACCAACCTTAATACTCCTGCTAAGGTGCACCCCATAATGGGGTCCCTTCATGCTCCCACAATATAAATAAGAGTTGCTTAAATCTTTGCTCTGAAACGCAGCTGGCAAGTTTCCCTTCCTGCTCCCCCTGCCATAAGCACAAGGTTGGTCTGTTTGGTTAGCCAGGGTCAGGTTTAAATGGGAAAAAGGTTCCTGAACGTCACAGATCACCAACACAACATTTAATGGCACAATAATGTTTTTGCCCCTCTGTTGTGCCTTTCCGCTGTGGAAGTCAAGAACTTTGCCCATAGCAATTAATTAACCCTTCGCAGTCCTGCTGAGAGGCTGGTCAATATAACTATCCCCAATTTGCAGACTGAGGAAGAGCAGCACAGACAGGGGAAGCAATTTGTCCAAGGTCACACCATGAGTCTGTGGCAGGGCCTGAGACTGAACCCAGAAAACCCAGCTTTTGTCACTCGGTCAGACTCCCCTGCTCCCAGAGCTGGGGATAGAACCCGGTCGCCCTGCTGTAACCCACAAAACCAATAGCAAGAATCTTGTACCTGTCTCCTCTCCTTCATCTTCCCTGTTATGCTCCTCCCCTGCTACTCCCACAGCTCCCCGGGGCACTGGGCTCTGTGGTTCCGTCTGCTCCCTTCGGTGCGGTTCTGGCTCCCCCTCAGGCTCCAGGCTCTGCCGTCCCAGCTCTGCCACAGATCTCCGAGCATCATCCCCAGCATCTGTGCCCTCCTGCGGCACTGGGATCAGAGGGGGTGGCAGGATGCGTAGGTCACAGGCCTCCAGGGGCCTCTTTACCTCCCCTCCCTGGAGGAAGGGAGCAGCATGGTAAAGGGGCAGCCAGGGACTAGAGTGCTAGTCTGGCCATGGGGGCAGGGATGGGGTATTAGCCCTGTTTGCTGCCAGTGGAGCAGCGCAATGATGCTTCCCAGGACATTTTGACACGCACAGTGGGGAAGATGGGCACAAATGGGGGAAGTGACCTGCCCAGAACCACATCCCAGTTCGCCACTGACCTGCTAAGGGAACCCAGGCGCCCAGATACCAGCCCCACCCCGTAACCCACCAGATCCCACATCCCTCCCAGAGCCGGGAATAGAACCCAGGAATCCTGACTCCCAGCTCCCACTGTTCTAACCCGCTAGACCAGGGGTTCTCAAACTGGGGGTTGGGACCCCTCAGGGGGTCATGAGGTTATTACATGGGGGGGGGGGTCGCGATCTGTCAGCCTCCACCCCAAATCCCGCTTTGCCTCCAGCATTTATAATGGTGTTAAATAAACAAAAGTGTGTTTTTAATTTATATGGGGGGGGGTCACACTCAGAGGCTTGCTATGTGAAAGGGATCCCCAGTACAAAAGTTTGAGAACCAGTGTACTAGACCCACTCAGTCCTGACTATCATCTTTCAGATGAGTCTCTGCTGTACACTGTGATGGGGAGAATCTCCTCAGCCCAAGCTTTTCATGGGAGGTGTAGAGCAACTGGGTGGGCCGTTGGTACTGCCATGTATGTGAGCAGCTTGATGCATCAGCAATGGACTCGGACCACTCGGTCCCTCAGCCCAGCCCTACCCCATGTACCCTGAAGAACTCCTTGAGCTGGGGGCTGTTGTTCAGCGCAGGAATGTGCACCGTGAACCTCAGCATGGCCTCAGCTGCTTTCCTGCGCTCCTCGATCACCTCGGGCTCAAAGCGGCCTGCAGGAGAGAGCTCCTATTAGCATAGGTCCTGCAGCACAACCCCCTCCCCAGACAGACCATCCACTCCACCTCTACACCTGTGGTAGATTCCAGCCCACCCACCCCTGCCACTGTCTGGTGGGCATCCCACCTCAATTCACTTCACACGGTATGATCCACTGTGTGCCTCTGTTCTGGGAATTTGGTGTGAGCCCCCCTGAGGCATGCCCTGGCATGACCTTTCCCCTTTGGGGACACCAGCTCCAGTCTGTCCCCAGGGCAGGGGACTGGCTGGTTCAGGGTGGCAGGGAATGGGCTATGGGACCTTTTCCTGCTAAGGTGCACCAGCTCTGATCCAGTCCCAGGTCCCTAGTGAATTAGGTCATTCCCATTTGAGGCCCGTTTGGTGATCTGGTTGTGAAGTGACTTGGAGGGTAGGTCCAAGTGCCCTACACCAGCAGTCTCTAGGGGTGCACTGGGGACTCAGGCTGTTGTGCCTGGGGAAATGGGAGGTGGGATGTGTGGATGGCGGGGTGGGGTCTGGGTATGTGGGAGGGGCAGTAAGGGAGCTCTGAGTCTGTGTGGGGACCTATGGGAAGTTGCAGGGTGTTGGTGGGGGGACGGGACAGGGCTGTTGGGGGAAGAGGAGGAAGGGGGCTGTGTGAAAAGAGCTGGGTGTGTGGGCAGATGTTATAGGATGTCGTGGAGCACTGTGGGGAGGAAGAAGCTGTGTGGGAGGATGCGGGAGCTACATGGGGTAGGGGGCTGTGCTGTGAGGATAGGAGGAGTTGGGCATGGGAGAGGCAGCTGTGGTGGGGGGGAAAGGTGGAGGGATGGGGAAAGCGGAGTGCATCTGCGTGTTGGGGGGAGCTCTCTCTGCCACTGCCCCTGCTCTGCGGGCACCCAGATGAATCAGGCTCCAGGGGCTGCTGAGTCCCCTGCCCCTTTGGAAGCCCCTTACCAAAGACCTGGGCTTTGGGGAAGGCGGGGAACTCCTCCATGCGCCGGAAGAGGTTGCGGTGGATGTAGGACAGGTCCCCATGCAGCTTCTTGAAGTCACTGTACCGTTTCCAGACCGTGATCTGAAGGACACAAGCCCCCCAGGTGCCCCAGTTAACTAGCCACAGATGTGCTGTAACCCTGCAGCTCCCACAGACCCTTCCCTTATTCCCCAAACTGCAACCCTTCAACTCAAACCCCCAAATCCAAACCTATGGACCCAGCTCCTTCCAGGCTGAACTTTGATGTCAAACTCCTGGATTTCTGTTCCCTAAAGCCCTCCTGAATTTCACCCCCAGACCTCGGTCACTCTGCCCCTGCCCCACAACCTTTGCCATAGGACTCAAAACCCCAAGACAAAACCATCCCCAAAACTCAGCTCCACCAGACCTCAAATTTTGGGACTTTGCCCACCACTGCTGAGCAGCCGTGCATGTGGGCTAACCTGGAGTGGAGACCCCCCCCAGAATTCTTTGCTCCCTCTCTTTGAAGACACGGATGGATGGATATGGATTCCTTCCCACCCTTTCTCGGCACCCCTCCCCAGCATGAGCAGATGGGTTTAAAAGAGTCACCTCCTTGACATCCTCCGGTTTCGTCTTCGAAACAAACTAAGGAGGGAAGAGACAAGGAGTCAGTAACTTCTGAGCCACGAGGAGGAGATGGGGAGGATTGGGGTTAATGAAGGGACCAGCTGAGTGGGGCCATCAGCCAAGGATGTGGGAAATGTGGCAGCCATGGGGTGCGGTGTGGCAGGGGTCACCCCCATGGGACATCCCCAGGTCGTCCCTGGGACATGGGCAATGTGGGGCATACCTTTGACCTGTAACATCCCCAGTGCCTAGGGCTTATGGCAGGGCCTCCCACCTGGGACGCCCCTGGGGTGTGGGGAGCTGTGGCAGGTGCTGGCCACGACACCGTCCCACGTGCGGGTCTCCCGGGACCCAGGGACACACGGCTCCCCCTGCAGGAAGCTTCCCTCTTAAAGGGGCCACAACCACGACACGGTTCGACACCCCAAAACGGAGACCCGACAGGCCCCACACGCAGCTCCCCACCTCTTAAAGCGGCTACGCACAGTGTCCTTCCCCCTGAAAAGTACCAGGGACAAGTCTCGCCCCACGGAGGCCAAGCGAGGTGCCCCCCTCTCATGGGAGTATCAGCAGCCCCTGCTGCCCAGCAGGAAGGCCCTTCACCTTAAAGAGATCACGCGCAGCCCCCTGGGGAGGGTCCCAGGAGCTGCCCCTCACCTTGGCTGTCACTTTATACTCGGTGTAGCCCTTGGGGTGGCTCCTCGGCTCCGTGACCGTGTAATGCCGCTGGTACTCATCCTTCACCCTGCAGGCCATCACCCTCTTCCCATTGGGGCGGCGGCCCCTTTAAATACTGAACCCGCCCTCCCACACATCGGCAGCCAGCCGCCCAGCGGCTGTGACTGCCACCAGGGAGCGTGGGTTTGCCGAACAGCCACTACGCATGCGCAAGCGATGTAGCCACCTCCCCGCCCATACTACGCACACGCGGCTGGACCTCCTGTCCCCGCCCCAGCCCAGGGAGCGTGTGTAAAGTGCAAGGCTGCAGGCGAGCTGAAAAGTCAAGGGCTCTTCTGGAAAGTGTTACAGGCAGGGTAAGCGGGGAGTTGAGCTTTGAATGGGGAAAGGAATACAGAGGGGAAGACTGGCAGGGGCAAAGAGGTAATTGGGACAGCACTGGTTCTGAACCAGGGGTACACATAGCCCTGGGCGTACACCAAAGACTTCCTGCGGGTACATCAATTCGTCTAGTTATTTGCCTAGTTTTACAACAGGCTACACAAAAAGCACTAGCAGAGTCAGTATAAGCTAAAATTTCATACAATGATTTATTTATACTGCTCTATATACTATACACTGAAAATGTAACTACAATCTTTATATTCCAATTGATTTAATTTAGAATTATTTGGTACAAATGAGAGAGTGAACAATTTCTCAGTAACAGTGTGCTGGGACACTTTTGTATTTTTGTCTGATTTTGTTAGCAAGTAGTTTTTAAGTAAAACGAAACTTGGGGTACGTAAGACAAATCAGACTCCTGAAAAGGGCAACGTTGTCTGGAAAGGTTGAGAGCCACTGGGTTACAGGGTAAGGTATAAAGGGGTGTAATGTTATAGGATAGAAAGTGGAAGGTAACAGGGTAGGGCTAGGGCAGGTAAATAGAAAGTGGAGAGAAAAACGGTGTCACCCTTCTAACGCTGATGCACTTTACAAGCAGGGCAAAAAGCTGGGAATAAGGTTCGAAAACTTGATGCTTCCTGGAACCTCAATCCTCATGTCCCATTCCAACTTCAACCAGGCTGCTCAAGCCCCACAGTTCAATGTTGGGGGGCAGCTTTGAGGTACATCCTTAAAGTCGAGGTCTTGCTATTGCTGTATGGACACAGCTGACCAGAGGGTATGTCTGCAGCAGCCCAGGGGTTCTCACTGCCTGAGGGACCTTGGCCAAAACAGTACCTCTCATAGCTCTGCCATCCCTTCTCCACCCCAGAGGTTGCTGCAGCATGAGGGTGAGTGGAGAGCTTGCAGAGCAAGATGAGATTAAATGCACTGGAAAGAGGTGATTTATTAAACTGTATTTGACAAAGATTAACTTTCTCAGTCACTAAAATGCAGCTGCCTCTGGGGTGGGGCACAAGAGCTGTTTTTACAGGGATCCCTCACCCAGTGCTGAGATGTAGCCCCCTCTGAGGTGGGGAGCAGGGGCTGTTTATTCAGTGACTCCTTGCTTGGCTCTGAGATCCAGCCACCACTGACTGGGACAGAGGGGGCTGTTTAACAGCTCATAGTAAGAGTTAAGAACAGGAAGTGAATCTCTCTCTGCTTAAAACCACAGGGGGTTCAGGATAGAGGGTGAGGGAGATCCTTGCAGACACCCTCCCCGGCCTGCAACTCAGCTGAGGCTGGAAAAAAATATACCAGCATCACTAAGCCCATGTGAAAAACAGATGCTGTAGCTGGGCATCTGGAGCCAACCCTATGGGTAGTCCATCTCTCAGGGGAAGCTGGCACAATAAACCAAAACCACAAGGCAATCCACGCAGGGTCAAGGACTCCAGGCACAGCCAGGACACAGGCCACTGATTTTATTAGCGCAGGAGATGAAAAATGTGAATGAATGTTTTATACAGAGGTGGGTTGTTTTCTTTCTTTTTTGGGGGGTGAGGTGGGAAAGAGTTCCTCTCTGCCAGTACCACTCATGCACACAGTTCAGCAGGCCTTGTGCTCTAGTGATGGGGTCTCAGTTACGCCACGCCCTGCCCCCCCCCATAAATGGCTTGATCCTTCTGCTTCCCCCATCATTTTGGTCCAACTGATTGCCAGCATTAAAGGTTCAAATCCTGAAACACATGCACAAGACCCGGGTCAGGGGCACTAAGCCATGCGTCAATCCAGGGGGCAGCTGGGATCTAGGCAGAGTCCAAGGAGAGTTGCTGTCCCGATGACTGACTGTTGGAGGAAAGCATGATGGGAGGGTCCATGGAAACAACAGCCACATGGTCCTGGGAACTCTGTTCAAAGCTTGGATGCAGCCCCACCCCCACTCCCGCAGCCCCCCACAAAGGAGGGGGCCAGGTCTGGGGCATGGTCAGTCTGCAGTGAAGATCCGGCTGGAAATATCATCCAGGAGCCAGTCGATCCCCGTCAGCAGGTTCTCCCCAGTGAAGGCACTGCAGGCCTGGATGCACCAGTGGTGGCTTTTGATGCTGTCTAGTTCCAAGGCCTTAAGGGAAGACAAGACGACGCTGAGTTACCTGAGTGTGCTGAGACCAAACTTGTCTTCAGCCCACATCTCCCAGCACTAGCACACCCTCCTGTCCCCATCCTGGGGAGGGAAGGATTCGCCCCTTACTCGCAACTTGGTAAAACTGAGGCACGGAGAGGGAAAAGATCATACAGCGAGTCAGTGATAAACTGGAGACAAGTCAGGAGTCCTGGCTGCCATTCATCTGGTGTAACTCTTCTACCCCACTCCCCTTCCAGAGCTGGGAACAGAAGAGCTGACTCCCAGACTCTGACCCCCGTCCTCCAACCAACAGACCCCACTCCCTTCAGTCAATATCCCTGGTTTGCTTCAGGCCAGTGGCTCTCACCTCACGGATGGCATTGGAGGACAGTGCCCCCGGCAGGTCCTGTTTGTTGGCGAAGATGAGCAGGGTAGCTCCAGCCAGGCGCTGTGGGGAAGGAATCAAAGGGTGAGCTGCATGGTCCTGTTGTCTTGGTCCCCCATTCCTGTTAGTCCTTCAAGCACCCTCCCACCCAGTCAGCAGCCAGGCCTACCTCCTCCTCCTCCTCTGTCCCAGACAGGGGGCTGTTTCTCAGTCCTGAGGGACCTGGCAGCAGGGAGACTGGGGTCCTCTCTGCAGCAGAGGCAGGTGCTGCCTCCAGCAGGCCAATACCAAACCAGGCACCTCAAGGACCCCAACCCAAATCCCAGCTACCTCCAGCCTAGTTCAGTCAGAAGTTGTCCCACCGACCCACAGGATACAGCCCCCTGAAGGATACTTTGTACAGCCCACTCCCTCATGCCCAAAAGATACACCCCCCTCTCCCAAAACACTTGATATAACCCATCCAATACATATAACTTTTCCCACAGGATACACCCCCCCATCCCCTCCAAGACAATTGGTACAGCCCCCCACTCCCAAATATAGATCCTCCCTTCCCCCCAGACAGATGCAGTTCCCACCTCTTCCACCAGGAGGCTCTGCAACTCCTGCTTGCAGACTTGCAGGCGCTGCTGGTCAGCGCTGTCCACCACCCAGATGAGACCGTCAGTGCTCTCAAAGTAGTTGCGCCAGTAGGAGCGCAGGGATGTCTGTCCGCCCACATCCCAAATGTTCAGCTTGAACCTGAGGAGCAGTAGAAAAAGACACAGACTGTGGAGGTAAAGGGGCAGCCAGGCAAGATCCCAGCATGCAATGGGCAACAGGCATCCTGGAGCAAGGAGGGGATGTTGCCTCTGCATCTGGCTCTGGGGAGACCAAACTTTCTTGGCTCCAAATTCCTTAAGAGCAACAGAAAGTGAGCAAGGGGCTGAGCTGAGGGGTGGGGGGCAGGGGATCTGTCAATAAAGCCTCATCTTGCTTTGGTTAAGTGAAGCCTGTGAGGGCAGAAAAACCACCCACATGATCTGAAGGGAGTTAAGCTCAAGGGGGAGCAGGAACTCTTAGGGGAATGCGGTGAGGGATCTGTACAGAACTTACAGTAAAGAAGACAAAACCAGCTGGAGACCAGGGTTGTTGAGATCTCTTAGGCAGGGGAATCAGCTCTCCAAGGGTGCACTATAGAATCACATAAATGTAGGGCTGGAAAGGATCTTGAGAAGTCATCAAGTCCAGCCCCCTGCACTGTGACAGGACCAAGAAAACCTAGACCATTATATTCAATCTGTGATCCATTGAAACCCCAAGATCTTTTCCACAGTGCTACCACGTATGGCTAAGGGGGTTTGAAACTAGGGTTGAGCAGAGACTGAGGGTTTACAGTGTGGGGAGGGGTGGATAATCCTGCCTTGCAGGTGGCAGGGGATCAGACTTTGGAGGGACAATCCTCTCCAGGGGATGGATGGGCTGGGCAGGTTTGGGGTCCTGTGGATTGATTAGGCACTCCGCTGGGTGCTCACCCCCGGTGCTCCAGGGTTTTGATGTTGAAGCCCAGTGTGGGTGAGATGGTGTCGATATCCTCCCCATTGAACTTCTTCAGGATGGTGGTTTTGCCAGCGTTGTCCAGGCCACTGGGGGAGATAGGTCAAGGAGATGGGATAGTTCAGTGGTTTAAGCATTGGCCTGTTAAACCCAGGGTCGTGAATTCAATCCTTGAGGGGGCCATTTAGGGATCTGGGGCAAAACCTGGGCATTGGTCACCCTTTGAGCAGGGGGTTGGACGAGATGACCTCCTGAGGTCCCTTCCAACCCTGATATTCTATGATTCTATGACAGCTCAGAACAGGGAAAGCCACCAGGGGTGGCAATGGCTGGATCAGCTGGATGGTGGATCAGCCCATAAAAAGGAAACTCCCAGTTCGGACTAGTGCAGCCCCTTCCTCTTCCATCACCCCCTCTCAGCACTTGGTACAACCTCTCAATTCACTGGATACAGCCCCCCAGGAGAGTTGGTACACCTCATCCCCAAACCCACAAAATACAGCACCCCTCCAGGACACTTGGTAGAGCGCAGACTCCGGCACCACAGGATACACCTCCTTCCCCCAAGCCCTTGGTACAACCCAGCCCCACAGGATACACCCCCAAGAACTGTTGGTACAGCCCAGACCCACAGGATACATCCCTCCCCCCAACTCCTTGGTACAGCCGTCAGCTCCCACATCTAAAAGATAGAAACCCCCTTTATCCCGCGATGTTTGGTACAGCCCATCCTCTCCTCCTGCAAAAGGATACAGCATAAGTAGCCGCAGCTCCCGCTCCTTCTGTCGCATCTTCTTCAGAATAGTCAGCAGCCCCATCACCAGCAGTCCAGACGCCTCTTCCGCCCCGCCCGGCACCTGCTTCTCACGGACCAGCGCCCATTGGGTCCCGTCGCCGCCAATCACCATGACGCTGATCCCCATTGGGCACATTCTCTACACCTTCCGCCCCCTTGCCGAAAACCAAAGAGGACGGATCCGGCCGCCAGGAGAGATCCTCACAACGCTAGATTTTCCGACATCGCCACCTAGGCGACGGGGCTGAAATTACAGATCCCACCCCCAGGAATCACAGAGGTGGTGGACTGTCAGGTGGAAGAATCCTTAAAAGGAGCCCACAGCGTCACCTGGGGGTGGAGACTGGTATTACAGCCCCTCAAAGGGGTTCATTTACAACTGATGGGAAAGCAAGCCCGAAATGGGACAGCTGGATGGGACCCCATCTAAGCCAGGTGTCAGCCAAGCCCAAGGGGAAAGCAAGCTGCCCCCCCAAGCCAGGGGAAAATGAGAGGGGGCAGTAAGTCACTGACCCCACCCTAAATGGGGTGGGGGAGAACCAGCCAAACAGCAGTGCACCCTAACAGCCAGGCTAGCTACTACTGGCCCTGACCCCACCAACTAGGCTCCTGCCATCTCTGCTGGTGGCACGAATCCCACTGCAGAAGGGAAGTTGCACTGGTGGCTTAGCCATGTCCGCTCCCAGTTTGTGTCATCACAGGTCTCTGAATCATCTTCTGCTGTTGGTGATAGAGCTAATAGCAAACAGGCCACCCTTATCAAGGCCAGGGGTTCCCACACCCCAGATCCCTTAAGACAGGGCAATGATCTCTGCTTTCACTGCTATTAACTCCTCCCAAGCCCCTAGGGATCACCCCTCCCCAACCACAGCTCAGAGCTCCTGTGCGCACTAGATTGGGGGCTAGGACCTTTGTGGGGGTGCTTATTCTGCAAAGCACCCATCACTTGCATAGCTGGTAGATGATATACTATGTTTACACATTTTATAGTAGTAGCCGTGTTAGTCTGTATCCATAAAAAGAAAAGGAGGACTTAGGGCACCTTACAGACTAACAAATTCATTAGAGCATCAGCTTTCGTGAGCTACAGCTCACGTCATTGGATGCATCCGATGAAGTGAGCTGTAGCTCACGAAAGCTGATGCTCTAATAACTTTGTTAGTCTCTAAGGTGCCACAAGTCCTCCTTTTCTTTTTATGTTTACACATCTCACTGTCTACCTTTACTGAAAAGAGAGGGTGCTGCAACAGCTGCAGAGCACCAAGCTGGTGCTATGCAAGGTGTACAAATGCCTCTGCGTCCCTCAGCTGGAAGGAGGTTCTGCAGCACAACCAGGTAGCTATTCAAGGTGGTGAGCACAGAGAAATACAGTAGCATCACAAATGACCAGTAGCAGGGAAATTTGTAGCCATTCTTCATTTCACTGGTTATGGCTGTCACCTCCAAGCCTCCCTCCTCCACAGAAGCCCTTCAGGAACCAGGATGGAGAAACTGATTGAGCTATTTGATCAGTGCAAAAATTGGTGCCCTCTCCGTTCTGGGACTGAATTTCATACTAGCACCTGATAGTGGAGTACAAGCTCTGGAGAGTGAAGTCCTCTCTATCTCAGCAAAAGAGCAAACACCCTCCCCTGTACCTACAGGGGATCCAACTCTCAGGAGTTAGAGACGAACCAGCCCTTCAACCCTCCACAGGAGTGAGGCTGGAGAAAGGAGCCAGAGAGGGGAAGTGACCTGTTTTTCAGAAATGCAGAGCAGCCCCCAACTCATATGAAGTACAGGAGCTGGAGGTTCTCAGCACTGCTGGCACTGATAAAGGACTGTGAGACTGAATGCCAGACAATGGAAAGTTAAAAACAAAACAAAACACTTGACACTTTCACTTTCCTCATGGGAGCGAGGCTACTGACAAGCAGAGTAAACAATGTTCTAGGAAATAGTACCTAGGAGGGCACTGACTATCAATCATTTGGGAGATCCCCATCCTATGACCACACCCATAGCCTGGGAACTGTGCTCCATGTTTCCAGGGGAAGGAAGAAAAGGCTACTGGAAGAAGTGGGAGGCGGAGTCAGTCTAGCTTCAGAAGTAGCCTTTCCCATTATATAGGATTCCCCTTCTCCTTGCTCTGGGGTAGGTGGCCCTCTAACACCAACTGTTCTGTACTTCTGACCATCTAAGGTACTTATCTGGTCCCCATTAGGAGAGCCTGTGTGGCCCAGGGGATCATGCACGGGACTAGGACTCAGGAGAGTGGGGCTCTGCCACTGGCCTGCTGGGTGACCATGGGCAAATCACGTTTCCACTCTGTGCTTCAGAGTTCCCCTGAATGGGGGGGGGGGGGTGTCATGATTCTGACCTGCTTTGTAATGTGCTCTGAGATCTGCTCATAAGAGCCAGGGATTGCCTTTATTTGGGTGCCTTGAAGCCTCACCTCTTTTTCCTCCTCCCCATCATGAGGCAGTGTTGAGCTATTATCCCCATTGTCCAGATGGTGAAAACCGAGACAGAGTGGCCTGCCCAAGGTGACACCAGGAGTCTGTGGCAGAGCTGGGAATTAAACCCAGGTCTCCCAAGCATCCTCACCACTGGGCCATTATCCCACCACAGAAGCAGCTCTATGGACAGAGAAGAGAGGGAGGTGAGGGATGGTGTCTCCTGCATCATGAGATCAGCTAGGAGGAAGATTTCAGGGTCTGTGACTCCTCAGAGAGGAGCCCATTAGCAAAGCCAGCTGGCCCTCTTCAGTGACTAGCAGAGAACCACGGACCGAGGTAGACACGAAATAATCAGCCGCCAGCCCAAATGCTACTGAAAACAAGGATGTTTATTAGTCCCAAGCGTTGCCCCTACAGCCCCTACCTGTGTGATGCTGTACCAGGTGCCACCCACCAACCCCAGAGCCCTATGCCAGGGTGACAAATTTCACTCAAGTGCAGTTTGGGCCTCGGATGAGTGCTGGAGCCAGGTAGCCAATGGTCACTGATACAGCAGAAACCAACTGCTTTCAGAGATGCTAGGGTTCTGCAGAGGGGGCTGCCCCTAGTGCTGATGGAGTTCCAATGTGAAATGTCACGGCAGCTTAGCACCAGCTACACAGAACTAGCAGGCAATCCAGTTCTGGGTCCACACACAGCTCTGCTGATGCGCCTCAGTCCTGGCCCGCAGCCCTGATGCTATCCCAGGCTGGGCTCCACTTCAAGCCCCCCCTGCCCCAGCTCTGCCAATGCTCCTTAATCCCAACCCACAGCTGCCCAGCTATCCCAGCCTGACTCCCCCGCTACACAGTTCTGTCAAGGTCCTTCTCAATCCTGACACACAGTCCCCTGGCTTCCTCTCCCAGTTCTGCTGACCCCCCTCAATACCCATCCCAGACTCCTCTCTCACACAGCAGCCAATGGCCCCCAATCATGTCCTGTAGCAACACCCTCCACCTCCACTAGTCCATCCTGGGCTTCTCCTGAGCTGACACTAGCTATCTGGCCATCCGGGGAGGTGGGGGGGGTTAGTTCATTGGGGAGCAGCAAAACAAACTCAACCCGTCTCATGTAGCTCCTGTGGTCAAGTTTAACCCAGATCTCTAAAGGAGGGAGGCTTTATAGTTACTGCTGCTCAGAGCCTCCTAGGAAGTTAATGTATTCCACTGCTCCAACCCACAAAACACTGAGCTCTAGCCTTCTACCCCGCCCTTGGCCTCCACACACACACCTACCAGCCTCAGGAGCAGCTCGCCATGCTCATCCAATGCAGAGGAGCCTGCAGTCCCCGCACTCCATTCTTCTCTGCTGGAGCCAATTGCAATGAATAAGGAGTCGAGACTACTGCTGAAGGTACCCGGTGGTAGACACGCCTCCGTTCTCGTCCCACACACGAGCTCTGTTGGCCCCATCTCTGATGCGGGACCCCCCCATGTCAGGGGGCAGGGATCAAGGAGGGAAGCTGTGGAAGGTGTGGTGTTGGTCAAGGCCCCGGGTTAGACAAGGAAGCAAGGTGACTCCCACCTAGAAGCAGCGGTTTAGAGATCTTTCTGAGGCAGAGAAGAGGCCCCACCAAATCTGAGCTGCCTTGGTATAGAGCGAAGATGCAAGGCTGCCCCCACCAGTCTCACCCAAACCAAAGGCTACAGGAAGAATTTTATCACCCAGAAGGAAATTGGGACAACCTGGATCTTTACGCCAGAGAATTCCCTCCTGTCCCAACACCCCTAGATGGAGAAAGCATGCCAGCCTTACAAGCCGGCATCCCACCCACCAGGTGATGAGAGTTCTCAACACCTTGAAAGATCAATCCCACCCCAAGCACCAGTCGTGATCACAGGGAAAGACCTCTCCCAACTCCTAGCTCCATGCAGATCTCCCCGGGCAGAGCTGGGCCAAGGCTGAGTTTGTGCCCGTCGCCCGTTACCCAGCAGCCAGGAGGTGTGGAGAATCTCACCGAGCAGGGAGCCTTCCGACAGCATCCAGAGCACTGTGGCGGGGATGGAGCTCGCTGCTTTCGGAGAACAAGGGATGGTGGAGTTGGGCTGGGAGGGAAAGAGAGAGAGACAGAGAGAGAGAGAAGGCCCAATCCGCTCTGCTCTAGGAGAGAGTAAGAAGAGAAGAGAATTTCAGCTGGAGGCTCCCCAGCTCCAGGCTTCCTTTCAGTTCTCGTCGTCGCCAAGCCGTTCCACACACGGATCATGTTGTGGGTGGTCTGTTGTGCCAAAGGCCTGGGTTTACCTCAATCTGCCCCTTCCTATTCAGGTTGATGAGGAAGAGGAGAGCGCACCCATTTTGATGCAGTAGTACCAAGGAATTGAAGCTGGGAACTGTCAGCTGCCCTAGATCTGTATGTTCACCTTAGGCTGCATTCACCCCACACTGAGCCTGGGCTCATGGCACTAGTAGGGCCACCTAACCAGAGCCAAGGGTCTGTATTTCTTCAAGCAGGCAACCCTAATGTTACGTAACTTAGAAGATGAAGAATGATCTTAACGCTCAGGTGCAGGACTGGGAGTCAGGAGACCTGGGTTTGAGTCCCTGCTCTGCCAGTCTGTCTGCGTGAACTTGGCAGAGTCATTTAGTTGCTTTGTGCCTCAGTTTCCCCATCTGTAAAATGGGGAGAACAGCGTTGCCCTGCCTCACAGAGGTGTTGGGAAGATAAATCTATTCAAAACTGAGATGCTCACACACTGCGGAAATGATTCACTGCTTTGAAGACCAGAACGGCCCATTCTGATCATCAAGGTTCACATCCTGCATACTATAGGTCAGAGAATCCCTTTTCCTGCATCACTCCTGTAATTTGTGTGAGGTACAGTGCAGGTTTAGGAAAGAGAGCCAGTCTTGACTTAAAGACTCCAAGTGATGGAGAATCCACAACGTCCCTATGTTCACTGGCTAATTCCTCTCGGGGTTAAAAATCTGTCTTATTTCCAGTCTGAATTTGTCTCGTTTCAACGTCCACCGATTGGCTCTTGTTCTGCCTTTGTCTGTGAGATTAAAGACTGCTCTACTCTCAAATCTCCACCCCGGCTGCAGACAGTGATCAAGTCACTATGGGAACCATATAAAGACCTAAATTAGATTACCACAGTAAGGCAGGTGGCACATGTTTTCAGAACATAACCTCTCCGCGGCAGGGATTTCTAATACTACTTGACTCAGCATCAGCCAGTGGAGATCTTAACCAAACTTGAATCAACCCTTCCCCCTTTTATAGAGGAGATCCACAGACTTGCCCGGAGGTCAGTGCCAGAACCAGGGACCAGAACCCAGATCTTGTGCTGTCTGTGATAGAAGCACACGACTATTCCTTCCTCTTGGAGTGTGAGTGAAAGGGAAGGGGGGAGAAAAGCGCTTACCTCCTGCTTCATCTCAGGTTGGAGTCCCCATGGGTGTTTAAGGCTCACAGTGGTTAGAGAGAAGAGACTGGGAGATCTTCAGGGAATCCCTCAAGTCATCTTTCACCTCTGCTAGCAGGATGCTTGGTGGGTCCTCCAGAAATCCTGCTCTTCCCCTGACATGTCATCTGAGGCCAAAAGAGTTCCTGGTCTGGGGGTTACCTTGATGTAAGGTCTCTTTGGGATAGGGTCAATCTAGAATAGACGGGGGAGTTAGATTCACTAGCCCCTCCTTCCTGAGTTTCTAAAAGGATCTAGGGGCTTTGCACCCTGCCCTTTGGTTTCCCATTGGCCTGGAGGGGCTTGGGTTAACAGCTGGCCTTCAGCATAGAATGCACAGATTTAAACACAGAGCTCGGATGGTGCATGGCTGCCAGCTCCAAAGACTCTGGGGAGTCAGCAGACTTGACAGTCCCAACAGGATGGCTCAGAAGTCAGGCTGACAAATGTCTGTCCATGAACCGTGCTGAAATCAGATACCGTGCCCCCTCTTTGGATGTTATGGAACTAAGACTTGCTCCCTAATGCTCCCCCACAGCCAGATCCAGACAGTTCTGATTGGACGCTCAGAGCGGCTTCCCCTGAGCTGCGGGCTCCTCCAAATCCTGTTCTTGGGACACATCATCCCACCCCCGCTTGGTCAGGGGATGGAAGCAGTCTGACCTTTGAGCCTGGGCTAAATGGCAATGATGCATATACAGCCCTTTCCATTAGAGGCTCTCCAGGCACTGAAAGGCTCCCTCAGTCACACATGGGGAAACTGACACAGGGAGAGGAATTGATCTGTCTACAAGCTTATAGTGGTAGACTCTCCCTGCTCTAACCACTACACCATTCCCCCCTGTACCCCACTCCCCTGCTCACAACATCATCTCCAATAAACACAGGCTCAAACACTCATCAGGAAGGTCTTTCTGCCTTACCTCAGTCTGCCATGGACAGATGCCAGAGGGAGACGTTTACCCTGTCGACTGTTTTTTTCTGATGCTCCCACTTCACCTCCCAGACGTGCTGCTGGGGGAATGAAAGGGTCTCTCTATCACTTCTCTCACACACCAGTGGTCCACCTAGTTCTGTATCCCACATCAATAGAAGGCATTACCCAATGCTGTACCAATGGGGGGGTGCAATTCCTGGCCCCAGCCGGTGACCATGTTCTGCCCAGAGTCTGCTCCTAGGAGAGAAAGCAGCTCAAGCTGACTATTCAGCAGCACAATGGATTCCTATGCCATTATCTCTGGCAACTGAAGACAGCTACTAAAAAGCAAATGGAAGCAGCGTGTGCTAGCCCTAAGCGGATGCATGCAGGGGGATCTGGAATGACCAAAGTGATCCCCAGGCTGAGACATGCATGTGCTAAGGAGTGGGTCTGTCCCTAGATCTTCAAACCCAGTAAGGGCAGGAACATGAACTAGCCAGAGTACATCACAAGGGGCGGGGTTGGGGTGGGGTGGAGCGCTTTAGATGGGTGGAGGCAGCATCCCCAGCAAGAAGCCAAGATCTCTTTGCACATGTAGTGCTTACCCAAAGATTTAAACACAATCTCTGCTGTGGGGAAACCGAGGCACAGGGAGGGGAAGGGAGTGGCTAGAAATAGAACCCATGAGTCCTGCTAGCCTTGCGCTCTCACCAGAGGGTGCCCTCTGGACTTGAATGGCTAACCCAAGAGCACCAGAAGAGGAAGAAGCGCAGGTAGGGGACAAGGGGAGTGGTATATTCACTCAAGCTTGTAGTGGAGGCTTCACGCTTCCTTCAGCAGGGTGGTGGTTAAAGGCATTGCGCTGTCTTGAATCAGCTCTGCCTGCACCTTTGCAGCCGAGATCCCTTTCCCCCTTACGCCTCCGAGCACCGGGCTGTGTATGGAGAAAAAAAAAAATCAATGGGGTGGGGGAGAAAGGGTTACAATGTTAGATACCTGACAAGTGAGGTCTAAACAAATGTGTGTGGGTGGGGGCGGTGGGGGAGTTGGCGTCAACAACAGGAATAAACAGATAAGGGGCTTGCAGTAGGTCAGAGTTACAGATGCCCTGGCTAAGTTAGAGCAAAGGAATGCTGCGGCCAGAAGGCAGGAGGGAAACCCAGGCAGCCTGTGGGGTTGCTAACAAGGCACTCGCTGTGGGGAGGGCACATGGAGACGGGAAGGGAAGAGGGTCGCTCCATTAACTGAGGCAACTGCGGTGGAACACGCAGCGCGATACGGTCAAGCGAAATTGGGGTGTCAGTTTTGCCATATGCCAGGCACAGAGGAGGGAGGCAGAAAAAGAAGAGCCGCACAGAGGGTTGGGCACAGTTAAAGCGACGCAGCAGCTGATTTGACGACGAGACGCCGGGAAGTTCTGTACAAGCTGTTTAATCATCAATGTAAAAAAATGAAAAGGGAAAAAGAAGCCGTGACACGGACAGAGACTTTGGATGCACCAAAAAAATCCACTTCCTTCTGTCATATTGAGGTACAGAAACAGAACAAGGCACCCCTCCCACCCTCCAGTCCTAGCTACGGATCTAGAAACACACATTTCAAAACTCCGCTCCGCAATGCACAACACAGGAAGACCGTGCCGAGGAATTAGCCAGCAAAAAATGAAAAAAGAGCACTGCAAGTTACAACAGTTAAAACTGATGAGATGGGAAGGGAATCAAGAAAGGATCAGCGCTGAATTATGAGTAGAACTGCCTTGGCCTTCAGTGCAGAATTGCAGGGGGCCAGTTCGTCACAGTGGGCGACAGATCTTCCAAACTGGGATTATTTTCTTAGAGACCGAACCAAACCAAAACAGGAGGAAAGGAAACCAGGAGGGAAAGGGGATGAGGGGGGAAAGTAGAGAAAAGATGCAACCTAACAAACCTCGGAAAGTGGGAGCATTGAAAAGACTGAAGGAAAAAGAAAGCAGGTTAATATCTTAATGGGGAGGGAGGGAGGGAGGCAGGCAAACTCACTTCTCGCCAGCGCTACTTGACCTTCAAAGGAAATCTAGGCTATCTTTATATATATTTATATATATATATATATAAACACACACACAAAAGGTTCTCTAGTTCATAGGAGCCTATTTACCGCCTTTCAGGAGGCATGGTAATCTCCATCCACTGTGGATGGCATCAGAGAGCTACTTTAGGGAGGAGTGGCACTCCCTTACCCCATAAAAAACTGTGCCAATAAGGAGTTCTAGGGCTAGTTACTCTCCACCCCATGCCGCCGCCCCCCACCGAAGCTAAGATCTCTGGTCACTTACTACTATGAGCCCAGTCAGATTAGTACGTCTGGGCATATTGAGTGGCATAGCCGTTGCTGTATTTCTCATAGTACTCCCCTGCACTGTAGGTGGCACCCATGGTGTACTGGGAGTAGGTAGCTGCTGCTGCGGCTGCAGCCGCCACTGCTGCATAACCCGTTTGGTTGTACACTTGGCTGTATGTCTGGGCGGCAGCCGCGGCAGCGTAGGGATCAGTATATTGGGCCACCACAGCGGTCGTCCGCCTGCCCACAGGGCTCCTCTCTCTGTATGCGGTGGGGGTAGAGGGCGGAGGTGGCAGGGCCCTCTCGTATGCTGTCCTGGCAGTCATCGCCCGGTTGTAGAGCTCATAGGCATAGCGGTCGTAATATTCCCGGTCATACCAAGATCGGGGCGCATAGTGGGTATACGGAGGTGGTGGCGGGGGGATGCGCCCCCTGGGAAAGTAGTAGCTGGGGGGGGTTGGAGGTGGCACAGAGGTCCCCTTGGTTGTCTTGAGCGAGTTGTTGCTCTTGGACAGCGTTACAAAGATCTTCTGGTCCTCCAGAGGCATGTCGTTGAGGTTCAAGATGGCATCCATGGCTTCCCTCTCCTTGGCCATGTGGACAAAGGCATAGTTCTTTACAATGTCGCACTCCACCACCTTGCCAAACTTCTCAAAGAGCTCCTTGATCTGTGCTGTCGTGGCCTTGCTGGACACATTGCCCACATAGATCTTGGTGGCGTTACGGATCTTGGAGGTGGCGTACTCCACCGTTAGGTGGGCCCCGTAGAACTCCTGCTTGTGCAGCTCGCTGATGGCCTTGTGGGCCTCGTCCTCCTTCTCCATGTGCACAAAGGCGAAATTTTTCAGGATGTCACACTCATTCACCTGTCCATACTGCTCAAAGAGCTTCTTCAGCTCATCCACTGTGACAGAAGGGGAGACCCCTCCCACGAAGATCTTCACCATGGCGGGAGCCTGCACTTCCAGCCTGCAATGCTCTCGGGAATCACCCACGCAAACTCCACTGAGAGACAGAGAGGAGAAGAGTTATTTCCTGCTTACGTTCAAGCTATCACAGTGATACCAAGTAGGGCTGTCAATCGCAGTTAATGTTGCGTGAGTTAACTAAAAAAAATTAATCGCGATTAATCGCACTTACCACAATAGAATACCAATTGAAATGTATTAAATATTTTTGGATTTTTTTTACATTTTCAAAATTGATTTCAATTACAACATAGAATACAAAGTGCATAGTGCTCACTTAATATTATTTTTTATTACAAATATACACACTGTAAAAATGATAAACAAAAGAAATAGTATTTTTCAGTTCACCTCATACAAGTACTGAAGTGCAATCTCTTTATCGTGAACGTGTAACTTACAAATGCAGATTTTTTTTTTTTGGATACATAACCGCACTCAAACAAAACAGTGTAAAACTTTAGAGCCTACAAGTCCACTCAGTCCTACTTCTTATTCTGCCAATCGCTAAGACAAACAAGTTTGTTTACATTGATGGGAAATAATGTTGCCTGCTTCTTATAATACAATGTCACCTGAAAGGTGTTGCAAGGTATTTACATGTCAGATATGCTAAACATTTGTATGCCCCTTCCATGCTTCAGCCACCATTCCAGAGGACATGCTTCCATGCTCGTTAAAAAAAATAACTAAGTAATTAAATTTGCGACTGTACTTCTTGGGAGGAGATTGTGTGTCTCCTGCTCAGTTTTACCTGCATTCTGCATGTATTTCATGTTATAGCAGTCTCGGATGATGACCAAGCACATATTCATTTTAAGAACACTTTCACAGCAGATTTCACAAAATGCAAAGAAGGTACCAATGTGAGATTTCTAAAAATAGCTACTGCACTCGACCCAAGGTTTAAGAATCTGAACTGCCATCCAAAATCTGAGAGGGACGAGGTGTGGAGCATGCTTTCAGAAGTCTTAAAAGAGCAACATTCTAATGCAGAAACTACAGAACCCAAACCACCAAAAAGGAAAATTAACCTTCTGCTGGTGGCATCTGACTCAGATGACGCAAATGAATGTGCGTCAGTCCACACTGCTCTGGATCGTTAACAAGCAGAACCCAACATCAGCATGGAAGCATGTCCTCTGGAATGGTGGTTGAAGCATGAAGGGCCATATGAATCTTTAGCACATCTGGCACATAAATATCTTGCAACACCAGCTATAACTGTGCCATGCGAATGCCTGTTCTCACTTTCAGATGACATTGTAAACAAGAAGCAGGCAGCATTATCTCCTGCAAATTGTAACCAACCTTGTTTGTCTGAGTGATTGGCTGAACAAGAAGTAGGACTGAGTGGACTTGTGGGCTCTAAACTTTCACACTGTTTTGTTTTTGAATGCAGTTTTTTAACATAATTTTACATTTATAACTCCAACTTTCATGATAAAGAAATTGCAATACACAGTACTTGTATGAGGTGAATTAAATAAAATTTGTTTTTTACAGTGCAAATATTTGTAATAAAAATATAAAGTGAGCACTGTACACTTTGTATTCTGTGTTGTAACTAAAATATATTTGAAAATGTAGTAAACATCCAAAAATATTTAAAATAAATGGTATTCTATTGTTGTTTAACAGCACTATTAATCGTGCTATTAGTTGCAATTAATTTTTTTAATTGCTTGATAGCCCTAATACCAATCTCTCTAGGGGTGAGGATGGTCTCAATTTGTGCTCGCTATGCTCTCCTAGATCAAGCTCTCCTGGGGTAGGGATGTGTCTGATTTGTGCTCTCCAAGCTCTCCCCAACCAAGCTCTCAACAGCAGGAGATGTGTCTGATTGGTACATCATAAATGTATGGCACTTTACCTAATATCTTATAACACCATGAATGTACTACAGTGATCAGCAGAAAACCCAGCTGCCTGCGTGGGGCTGACAGAACAAAGCTGGACTGGGAATCCTGTGGCTATTTTCACAGTTGCTTATGGAAGTGGATGGTCTACACAGGCTAGCAACTAGAGCGAAACCTGTAGTAAACCCGTAGCTGCTTAGCTTTGGCAGCATGCAGCCCAGACACACAATCTGCACCTCCTCCACTGGGGAAAACTCAGCACGGCGATGGGTACTAGAGAAATGGAGAAGCCAGGCAGGATCTCAGACGCCTTCGCCACCTGCAGTGATCTCCCCACCTCCAGTGGGGCAGGAACGAGGGCTACAGAGGAGGAGCCTGGTGCCCTGGGCAGGGAGGGGGGCGTGGCTCGAAGCAGGGGACTGTGAACTTGAGGGACAGGCAGGAAACCCTTAAGCCTCGTGACCAGGCCACTCGGGGTCTTCATAGGGCCAAGGGACTCTGCCCCTCCTCAGTCCACGGTGCTCCCCAACGTCCCTCAACGGTATCGCCCCCCGTGTTTCCCGCGGATACCATCCCCGCATGCGCACTGAGCACAAGCCAGCCCGGGGCCGTGATCCCTCGGGCTCCTTCCCGTCCCGTTCGCCTGGGACTCACCGCGGAGGAGGGCGGAAGGGCCAGGAGACCTAAAGCAGCGCAGCGCCCGACGGAGGCCAGCTGTTCCCGCAAAACCACAGAAACAAGATGGCGGCGCTCACTTCCGGTCACCCCGGGAAGTCCAACTCCAAGCGCGGAAGTGATTAGGGCGCCGCCATATTTGGGACACGTGATGACGGACACGTGATCACCATCACGCTGCCAAAAACTATGGCGAGGCGGAGAGAAAAAACACTACTCCAGTGACGGCGGGACCATCGTGTAATCATTTGATCGCGGTCCCCCCTCCCCTCCCATTCCTGATAAAGCCGCATGGTGGCGCCATCTTTGCCTCCTAGGATCAGGAAGCAGCAAGAGAGAGGCCGTCCTCCTCCCAGACTAGAACAGAGTTTGGGGCCACGTTTTGTGCCGGGCAGATCCCCTGTCCCAAGGAGACATGGCTCAGCTGCTGGGTCTAGCCTCCCTACTCCGCCCAGCTCACTGCCACCAGCCTAGACACAGCTGCTGAAGAGTTTGGCAAGGCAGGTGGCTTCAGGTGTTAGGAAAAGTTACCAAAGCATAACCTGCCCTTTGGGTGGAGGTCTCACAGCACATGGCCCTGCTCAATGGCTAGTAGCAGACTAGGCTCAGGACGTGCTTGAGGATACAATTATTCTAGTGAGAAACAGCACAAACAAGCAAGGATGAGGGGTTGCTTAGCCTGTCTCTACTCCAGGAAGATGGGAGATACTGCTGTCTGATAGCAGACACTGGCATACAACAAGGATGGTTTCCAACATAAACACACACGAGTGGTGAAGCAAGGATGTCTCAGAAGAGCAGGAATGGGGTATGAAGCCTTTCACCTTTAGCTTAGGAGCTCTAGTCTGTCTCTAGGAGCAAGGGGGGGAGGGCAGGGGAGAGACACAAACCGGCTCAGATTATTCCACCTTTAGTGCACTGATTTCAAATATGACCCATGTCAGGAGTGGCTGAATATAGGAATAGTTACTGCCAGACTGGACCAGCTCCAATATCCCGTCTCTGGCAGTGGCCAGTGTCAAACTGTTTTCCGTCTGACACTCGTTCAGTGGCCACACAGGATACAACTTAATTCTCAGTCCCACTCCCACTGGACAGGCAGCCACAAAACCACCACCACTTTTATTAGCAGCCTCAGTTCAAGGAGCAAAGCGAGGAAAGGTGCCTCCTGGTGGTGGGACACAGAGACAACTTCAGTATCCACGTTATCACATGTCCCAAATATGGCGGCCCCCAATTAAAAGATGCCTATAGCTGAACATATGATCTTTCAAGTAACCACAGGTCTGGTGTTAACCTGTGACCCACTAGGTGGCACTGTGCATAAACACCTGATTTAAAGCGAACCTTAGGTATAGTTGCCAGACCATTAAAGGATCTCACGATGAACATATCTGGTGTGTATAAACCAGCTCTGTGACCAGTCCATATCTGGTACAGAAAAACATGACATGGTGTCAGAAGTAAACTGAGAACAGAAACAGAAGGAAAACAGCAACAAAGGTTGCAAACAGAAGGGACAAAGCAACAAAGGTTGTAGGATCTCAACAGCATGCCACTCTTCAATGCCCCAGAGAACTTCAACTTTGACAAACATTAAGAATGGACACACTGAAAACAATATTTTGCAAGATTTTGCATTGCTACCAAGCTGCACAAAGAAACTGGAGATGTACAGGTATCATTTATATTTTATGCTATAGGGAAGCAAGCAGAGCATATCTTTAAATCCTTTTAAAATGTGGATTAAGAAAGAGCATGTTTCCATCAGAGAATTCAAGAACCAGAGAAAAATGCTGAATCATTTAAAAGAGCTCTGCGTACAGTGGCTGAAAACTGTGATTTTGGGAATGCAAAACATGAAAATATTAGAGACAGGCTGGCTATTGGGTTAACAGGCAAAAACCTTTACAGCAATTAAAAATAGATCTAACCCCACACACAGCTCTTCAAATTGCAAAATAGTCTGAATTGGTGAAACAGCAAAACCTAGAGCAACTTGACTACCTGAAAAACCTGAAACTAGCTTAGAAACTGTAAACAGACACTTGAGCGTTAAAAGTTAGTATCATAAAACCACCTAGGTGAGAAGAGAAAACTCCCAGGCTAAGGCTATGTACACACTACAGCTTACATCAGTATAAATTATGTCACTCAGGGGTGTGAATAAGCCACCCCCCCAGAGCAAGGTAAGTTACACCAACCTAAGCACTGCTGTGGACAGAGCTATGTCAGTGGGAGAGCTTCACCACTCACGGGGGCTGAAGTAAATAAGTTGATAGAAGAGCTCTCTCCCATTGACTTAGAGCATCTGCACTAGCAGCTCTACAGCAGCGCAGCTGCACCATAGTCTAAGAGGGACAAATTCCAGCCTACGTACATAAGGTGTGAAAAAAGTCATACCCAAAGAGTTTATACATGTCCAGCCAGAGGCACATGGTGTAATACAGGGGTTCTCAAACTGGGGGTCCAGACCCCTCAGGGGGTCACTGAGGTTATACCTGAGGGTTGCAAGCTGTCAGCCTCCACTCCACCTGCTTTGCTTCCAGCATTTATAATGGTGTTAAATATATAAAAAGTGCTTTAAATTCATTATGGGGGGGTCGCACTCAGAGGCTTGCTATGTGAAAGGGATCACTAGTACAAAAGTTTGAGAACCACTGGTGTAATACATGCATGAAATATGAACATTTTGCAGCTGTTAGCCGCACCAAAGCAGTCAGGGAGTTGATTCATATTACAGACAACCAAGAGCCATTGTTTCTGAGATCCACCTCTTGTGATGAAATAGAACCTAGCTGGAGAGTGAAGCTGAGTATTCATGGCAAGTCTATTGACTTTAAAATGGACTCAGGAGCTGATGTCATAGTCATCTCAGAAGTGACTTACAATCACTTTCAACCCCACCCAGTGCTTAACTCTGACACAGCTCTGACTACCCCTGGAGGTATTTTGAATTGCATTGGGCCAGTTCACCACAGAAACAACTTACAAAGACAAAAACTATGCATTCAGAGTGCATGTGGATCAAAGGATCAAAGACCAACAACCTTTTCAGCCACAGTGTGGCAGCCATTGTGGGCCTAGTGTGAAAGGTGGAAGACCTTGATGGAGGACTTGATGACATTGGACATTTGAAAGGAGATCCAGTACAAATCAACTTAAGAGACAATTCTCAGCCATACAGTGTACAAGCATCCCTACCAGAGAGACCATGGAAGAGACAAGCTGCAGATTTATGCAAATTTAGAATTAATTATTTCCTAGCCATAGTGGACTATTTTTCCAGGTACATAGAAATAATGTACTTGAAAGACATAACATGTCTCAGTGTTATTGAGAAACTGAAGAGCACTTCTGCTCATTTCAGTATTCCAGAACAACTAGTGATGGAGGATGGATCACAATTCACTGCAGCAGCATTTAGATCATTCCAAATGAAGTATGATTTTGATCATATTACTAGCAGCCCACATTACCCACAAGTGAATGGAGAGGCTGCGACAGTGGTACAGACAGCCAAGAAAATCCTACAGCAGGAAGATCTAGTCCTCACTCTTCTGAGTTACCGATCAACACCAATAGCAGCTATTGGATATAGTCCAGGACAATTCCTGATGGGAAGACAATTCAGAACTACTGTTCCAACTTTGGAAAAGAGCCTCTCTCCAAAGTGACCAGACATGACGAGAGTAGCCAAATCGGATACAGATGCTTAAAGCCCTTATGAACACTTTTACAACAAATGTCACTCATTTAGAGAACTAACAGGTCTATAACCTGGTGACCATGTTCATGTCCAACTGGATGGAGAAAAAGGAAGGACAACTCCAGGTGTTGTAAAGAAAAATAATTCAGTGTCCAGACCATATGTAATCAAGCCTGGCAGTGGAGAATGCAACAGAAACCATCAACATCTACAGTTTGTTCCTCAGAATGAACAATCAACAGAGAACACTCCACGGATGGCAGATGCAGAAGAAGATTCAAGGATTCCAAACTAACCACAGCCAGTTGTTGCAGCTAATGGACAGCCAGAAGACCACGCTGTTATATATTCAGGTTGTGTAACTAGAAAACCAGTATGACCAAGAGACACTTAAAAGACTGATACATACTGAATTTCAAAGACAATATGATAGTGTAAATATTGTAAATGTAGGAAAGTGGAACTTTAAAGGGGGAGCTGTAATGGGATGCTAAACCGTATTATATTGTTCTCCCACTAGGTGGCACTGAGTGTAAAATACCTTATTTAAAGCTAAAATTTAGCTATACCCAGCAGAGCATTCAAGGATCTTATGATGAACACATCTGGTGTGTATAAGCAGGGGCTGAGACCAGTCCATATCTAGTACAGGAGCACAACAGATAACGAGGTAGCTCTGAGGGTATTTGCCAGGAGTTTCTCCCAACCCTGAGGGGCAGCATTGGAGAAAGTATGAAGGTGCTTAGTTGAAAATTTAACAAGTGGGTGATGAAGGGTGCATCCTGGGCCAGTCAGAGGTGGGAGTCAACCTTTCAGTACTACTGAATGAGAGATGATAGGTAAAGTGGGGTTAGGTCAGGAAGGGCCTTCAAAGTGAAAGCAACCAGCTTATGTTTAATAAGATAAAGAACAGGAGGCCCATGAAGGGATGCAAAGAGAGGAAAGACTTGACTTGATGGGATAGGAAAATGATCTTTGCAGCTGTGGTATTCTGAATGGATATGAGTGGGGCAAGATTGCATAGGTCAGCATAGGCGCCAACTTCTCCTGGTGCGGGTGAGTGCTCGATCCCTCCCCGCCCCGACTCCACCCCTGCCCCGCCATCTCCTGTCCCTGTCCCACCTCCATTCTAACCCCTTCCCCAAAGTCCCTGCCCCAACTCCGCCCCCCCCCTGCCCCTATTGGACTCCTTCCCCAAATCCCCACCCCGGCTCTGCCTCTTCCCTGCCTCCTCCCCTGAGCGGGCCGCATTCCCGCTCCTCCCTACTCCCTCCCAGAGCTTGTTACACCACAAAACAGCTGTTTCACAGCGGCAAGCACTGGAAGGAGAAGCGGGGATGCGGCGCTCATGGGAGGAGCTGGAGGCGGAGA